ATATATATATATATATATATATTCCTACTATTTCTTGATGCTCTTGATCAACAAAAATATTGTTCTTCTCACTCTGTATCAATTAAACAGGAGACAAAAAAGACAAAAATGATTTTATTCTTCTTGATGATGAAACTGATTAATCTACCATAAGATTCCTGCTTCCACTGTCAGCATTGTCTTTTCAAATACAGAAACGCTATGACAGACTGCTATGATGTCTCCTCTCTATTGCCTCTAGTGATGATAAATGTAGCCCAGAGTGGTATTCACTAAGGCGATGTCATGACAATGGACAGTCCACAGCTTTTCAAGCACTGTCAAATTCCCACTCCTCTCTGCTTTGATTTAGAGCTCAATTTGTCTCAATATTTCACTCAATAGGACAAGGTAGCAGAAGTGGGCGCTATCTTTTAGCCTTAATTCAGGGCGTTAGGCTTTTCCTCAGTGAGACATTCATTACTCTGGGGGTTTGAACGAAGAGACAGTTCCCTCCCATGTTGGTGGGGATACAGCATCCTGTGCGGCTCAGGCAAAGGAGCAGAGGCTCACTGTGTCCTCTATAGGCCTGTCAGTCAGTGGAGCCATCAGGGCTGCCTGGGTCATGGCAGGTTAAGCAGCATCTGTCATCAGAGAAGCACCATTGTATTTGAGGGAGGGGGATGCGACAGATCCCTGCACCATATACACATAACAACAGGAAAGACTGAGGAGAATCTCACAAGCTAAATTTGACCCATGCCTGGAGGATGAGGAAACTTTAGTGACATCACTGCCTGCCTAGGAGAGACAGAAATAAATGTGTCCAAGAAAACCTGCAGCCTCCTAGGGAGGGACACACACAAAAGCATAGCTTCAGAGTTGTCCTCACAACTTTGTTCAGAAACTTTTATTGCAGAAACCACTATTTTTACATAGAAGTTGTTGCAGGCCTGCATGCACATATTTTTTGCCACTCTTTGTCGATTTTCTACCATTGGAGCAGCAAGTTGGTCGCTAACATTCACAAAATGAATTTTAGCTCTCAACACTTTTGGTAAAATGCCCAGATCTCCCGCTGCGTCGAGTCTTGAGCTTCATCTCATCTCCTCATCTGTTGTCGAATCTATTTAAACGACGGGGACTCACTCCTGACATGTCCCTTCATCTCGTCTCTGAGAGAGACACATGGCTGGATGGATGCAAGCCTACCGCAGACTGCTGCGAGCTGCCACTTAACAGGAGGTGTGTGGGCGAGTCTGCCCATCTCCCCATTTAGAAACAGCATTATTTGTGTGCGCTCAGTGGCAGAAATGACTGGTTTCCTCACAGAAAGCCAGTGTGACCATTTCTCCAAAAACAATAAAAAAAAAAAGGCAGCTATCTCAGCCAGCAGACTTGCAGCTTTTCCTGCTCTTTAGCACAG